CATAAAAGACAGACCACCACACCGAGGACTACTTCCCCTACTCTTTACGAACACCACCGCGGTCAAACGTCTAAATCGTTATTTTTGTTTTTTATTGCTGGGATTTCATTTACCAGTTAGAGAAAAATGGGCAAAGATGTATAAATCAGTTAGTCAACATAACTATCTTTCCATTTTTCTCAAAATTTTGAGCCTTTTTCGCTGAAAACGCTTCGCGCTAAAAGAGAATCATGTGTGAAAATGGCGCCGATAATAACGTCAGCATCGGTTTTCAATCACTTAGAACTTTTTTTGTAAACTTTTAAAAAGTTTAGTAAACTAACAGGATGTTGGTAATACCCTAAACTTTCGATAGTGAAAGTAGCAACCTTAACTTTGAAGTATTTCGCTTAACTTTTGCAAATTTCACTCGTTTGACCGCTGTGAATTTACGAACGGTATGTGGGTTCTTTGAGGTCCCACAGAATTTAAATGTGCAAGAGTTGTGAGACCGGGCTTACGGTTTGTCGTCCTTATCCGAGAAGACTAGAAAGTTTGCGGATGTCTTTACCTAAGCTATATATGGATAGTAGGGGAGACTGGTTATAAAAGATCAAATATATAAAAAACGGTGCTGTAGTGTATTTTGGGACCTCCCTGATGGTGTACAATCTATTGTTTTTTGTTCACAAATTTATGACTGAATGAAAACGGCTTGGAAACTAAAATTTGATAGCATTTTGTTTTGAATGAGGGTATGGGCATGATTTTCAGTTGAACATGCCTAGCGAGCGTAAAAATTGCATTCAGTCTGAGGATTAATGAGAGAGGGAAAATTTTATATATTTAGGCATGACAAAATTCAAGGGAACATTGGTACTTAGAAATTACATGTCATAGGCATGGAAAAAATGGGTTCATGCCCTCGCAGCCCAAAATTGACTTAGCTAAACTTAGGTCCCAGATCTCTCGCCGGGTTGATAATTCATTCCCAGTTTTTGCTCGTCTGGTTTGGCATGCCGGGCATGCAGATCGTGCAGCCAGTTGGGTTTGCCATGCTCGGCATGCCGGGTATGAAATTGGCATGCCCAGCGTGACTGATTTTGATGTTCGCTCCAGCATCATATCCTGAGAATCACATAATCGCCAAATATATCTTAGGGAGCTTGAAGCTACAGGTTTCATGCCTGGCAATAAACGCAGATTATAACAAAAAAAGTTATGTTTGTCACAATGTATGTCACGGGATCGACTGGCAAAACTGAAGACAGAAGCCTGGATTTATAAATAAAAAGCACAACAAAACAACATTATTCATGCATAAAATAGAATACTTCACTTGCAATTACAGATCAATTAATCCTTTTATTTCAAAGCGATACTGATATTTCTGGGTCCAGATTTAAATTTGATCGCGGAAAAGCGTTTTAAACAATAAGATAACAAATCTTCTCCGTCAGTATATGTTTCTCGGTCAACAGCATTAAAAGACTGGTGAAAATTAAGCTTACCAGGACGTTCAAGTCAGTACGAGAGTACGACGTTAATACTGCAAAGACGTTCTGATTTGGTGAGTTTGGACTGCCTTCTCAGAGAGATTTTGCTTAGGTTTTCAGTGCGCTTCTTGTCGGCTATGCGAATTTTGCAAACTGTTTTACTCCTTGCTGACGATAGTCCTTTCAGCAACGTCATCTGCTCCATCCGAAGATACCCCGAGCTCGCACGAAATCGGCCGAATTTCCGCAGAAGTGTTTTCGGATGACGATGAATTTAGTTTGTTGTAGCGTGGCAGTTGTGGCGTCACGATGTCGTCATGTCTCTTCGCACTTGTTTGTCTTTTTTTTTTCCTGCGGTGCATGGTTGAGATGTTGGTGAATGCTGGACAAGAAATGGATTCTGCGAGAGACTGTAAGTACAAATTTAGTATTAATTTGGTAAAGAAAAAGCCTGAATATCGAAAAAATCCCGTGAATTATCCTTTTGGCATTCAGTTTATCTTGCTGTTCAGCATGCCTAAGAACTCTCAGGCATAAGTGGTTTTCAACTCGTTCACTTCGGATTGTTTCTGTTTCTACGTCTTGTAATCTTCTTCTGCTGTTAAGAAGACTAGAGGAAACTTCAAAAATATAGAAACCAATCACTTTTGGAGACAAAATAAAATATCCGTAAATCAAATGCCAAAATCAGATTTGGATTTCGCTTTAAAAAAATGAACATGCTGCAGGTGTCAATGCAAAGTTGTAAACAACTCAATAAGCAGTCTGTGAATGTGCGTTTAGGTCCACAAAACTAATTTTTCTTTTGGATGTCTTATCCAAGCAACCACTTATGCCTTACATTGCTTGTCTACGAGTGTACTACAAAATGCTTTACTACAGTAAGCCTTTGAGAGGCGATTCTGGTAAATTTATAGGACGCTAAAATGCAAAAAATTCTAAGCTTAAATAACCTGGCTGGGTCCGATTTCTGAATTACAAAATGTTCACGTTTGCCGGCTCTTCTTTAAATAAACATAGTTTTTGAAATGACTTTGTACTATTTTAACCCGAAAATTATGATTGGGTTATAAAGCTTTTAAAACGGACGAAAACTAAGCTAATAAACATGTTCAACGTAAAAAACTAAGATTTAGTCGCTTTTTCAACTTGGCTACCTTTACGCAAAAACAAAAGCAAGCAATGAGGCTTTTATTCGACATATTTTCTGAGAATTTTATCTGATCAATTTAATGTCTCTAGCATTATTTTCGTATAGGAATTTTCCTAATTATTTGAGCTTTTAATTTAATAATTTTGATACTTTATAAACTTCTCATTTGATAGCTTCACTTTTTTTATACACCGATTAAGAAACAAATTCGCTCTCGTTAAATCCTATTTTATGACCTATTTATTAGAACTCTAGGTAACATGCAAAATGATGTAACAGGACAGGCTTTAACCTTTGGTCCTAATGTATTTTTTCTTCACAACCCCCAGTAATCAGTTGACGGGCCATGAGAGAATATCGCCACAAAGATGCGAAAAAGTTTTCGATGAGTTTCCTTTACATATTCCTGCTTTATATGGGTCTACACCTTCCCTGCTTAAAAATGAAACTGTTTTTCGAGTGTCAGTCAAACTCGGGATAATCTTGACTTGCAAACCCAAATGCAAAGGTTTATTTCGCAGTAGAAGAGCGTGTAAACATCATCGAACAACGCAATGTAAATTGGCTAATGTGAAACCACGTTTCTTTCACTTTATTTACCATGCATTTATCTCAATTGCACACCTTGTGAAATTAGCCTCAGACAATTAGTTGCGACCTTTAACAGACTCAACAAGCCAGTATGAAAATATCTTAAGAGAAGCTGAGCTCTACACGTTCTATTTCATTTTTTCATATTGCCCTTGCATGTGTTAACATTCCATTTCTTTTTTGTTACAGGTAACTTCCAGACATGACGAGGAGATAATTACTTTTCTAGAGAGCAATTCTTTGATACTGTCAGTTATTACTGACTTATTTTGAGTTAAAAACAAAGAACACAGACTCTGGTAATGACACATAAACAATAATCCCTGGCAAGCCTACAAAACAAGAAAGAGGAACTCAGACTCCTTATCAAAATATGAAACAAGACAAAAACAGCTTTTCTAACGTAGGGAAAATTGCGTTAGAGAGATTTGTAATTGCAACGTTATATTCAAGCACATTGCATTGTCGAACATCATAATTTACTGAATAATGGACAGTGATTTTGGAGCTTAGCTCAGTTTGTAATGTAATGAACGTTGAAAGATATTCTATAACCTTGTATTTTTAAAAGCTTTCATGGAACATAGATGCATTTTATTATGCAAAGAAAATAGTCTCTGTCTCTATTTTTAATGATTTCAGTCAATTCTATTTTATTCGCAATGTGAAATGGGAATCCTATTAAAGACTCATTAAAAGGGGTGAGGCCGTTTTTACAATCCCCCAACAGGTCATCTCCGCGATGACGCTGTTTTATTACTACGGCAGAATCCCTCAGGGTTTTACTTTCTTGTGAAAATTAGAGCCTTTGTTATTTAAACTTCGCTGGGACAACCAAATCTATAAAAATGAGAGGAATAGCAATGACGTCATCGTGTAAATGACCTATAAACCGTACATCAAACGATAAGTACTGTGATCTGTTTAGTTTTTTTTTTTTTAGCCAGGCTTAAAATATCTGTAGATTCAAGGAATTATAACCTGTGCGTTGAGAGCATGCCAGAGACCGATTTTGGCATGCCCGGCATGACCCAGATTATGGCACGCCCGGCAAGCCAGAGAATTTGGCATGCCGGGCATGCCAGGAAATTTGGCATGCCCGGCATGCCGGAGATTTTGCTGGGTATGAATTACTTATTACTAGAACCTAGGCTTCTCGCGGCCTGGGTGAGAAGGTCACGGAACCTCAAATTATGCTTACAGGGCATGCGAAATTCTGTTGCATGCCAATTTCAATGCAAAACCACTCTGGGGCCACCCCCTCTATTACCAGTGAGCAAATCATTGACGATAGGCATGGGAAAAATCCTTGCATGCTAACCAACATTGAAAACGTAGCAGAAATGTCCTCAATTGCTGAGTCATGCCCTAGGGGAGGCTTTAAAATACAGAATTTCCTGACATGAATGAGGGAATTTTCCGTAAACAGCATGTGATCATGCCGGCTAGGACGTATTGCCTCCGTACTGCCCCTTTTTACAGCTAGCTAGGCTCATTTTTAGGTTCCATGGCCTGAAATGACGAAAAATTCATGCCCTAAATGTAAAAAGTCCAAAAACGTCCTCGAAATTTTAGTTTCCAAGCCGTTATGAATTGATGCGATAAGTTTTATTGGTCGGTTAAGTCCACAAAATCAGATAAAAAATGAGTTCATAGCCATCCCCTCTATTAACATTGCCCAAGCTTACCTTAAACGAATACGGTATCATAATCACCATTATGTTTTTACCACAAGAACTTTACAATTCTTTGACATGTATACGTTTTTAAATTCCATTTAGATGAATTACCAAACTGCTCCACATCTAGCTTCTCAGCATGATGATCTTTTAAGTGTCTCCTCCGAGACAATACCATTGTATCATCCACTACCCATCAAGGAAGAGGCAGCATTAGACCAAAGCTGTTGCCATGGAGATGGATCCCAGCTAATAAGTTTGAGCGGCCTGCTAGAAACTGCATTTGATATTCAAGCTGAAACCGCCACTACCAATACAACGTTCAACCACGGCAACGATGGCAGCTCCTTTTCTGTAACTCAGGGTTGTCCTGACAAATGTCCCTGTGTTTGCCATGTACCAGCTCCATGCACTTCCTTTAATCAGAGGCGCCCCTCTGTGATCATGACTCCTGTGGCTAGACGCCGCAAAGCAACAAGTGAATCATGTACACACGCTCCTCTTAAGGTACGTACAGGTACTTTAGGGTGCTTAATCAACAGCGTTTTAGAGCGACGGAAGTCAACTGGAAGTGAACTTTTTGCATCATTGGGCAGTAGTTTGGTTGAAACTCTCGGGCAAATCGTCTTAATAAGGGAAAAGAAACTTAGCAACACAAATTTGTTAGCGTAAAGGCACGTAAAAAGGCACGGTTGACGTGCGTCGCTCAACAAGAGAGCTTAAGCAAAGCCGTTTTTAGCGACGGACGGCTACCGGAATTTGTTGTTGTTGCTTTTTTTTTTCATCCTCGAGCAGTGATTTTGCCCAAATTTGGTAGTGTCAAGGTTTATTAAAAGAGAAAAGGCCACACTTCCTGTTGCCGTCCGTGGCTCCAAAAAGCCTTTGCTTAAGCAAATATTAAACTATGCCTTCCTTGAGAAGACTAGGGGTATACAGGCCTTGCCCGCTGTGCAGGCAAAACTCATTTTTCGGATTCGCTTTGCAGACCCCTAGGATTCTGAAAACAAAGAAGATCGGGGAGACGATCTGGAGTCATGAGTTTCCGTTTGAAATTCATCATGGCGGTTATGAATATCCCGAGTAGGTCCTCGCGGGTAAACAGTGCAAGAAAAACGCCTGCATGAAAGTTTATACAACACTTGTCCACGTGCACTGTATTATCGTTCGGTTTACAATTGGTGGTGTCAAAATACAGAACGAACGATGTTCTACTTGATGATGTACCCTCCACCCTCAATTTGAAATCTCCCCATAACTAAACCCACAGCAAGTCGCAGAATCATAGTTTGAAGGCCTAGCAAATTGCTCAGTGAAAATCGTCATTTATTGTTGGTGAGGCTGTGTGGGATGTCCAGTTGCTTGCCCACGAATATGAAAGTAAAACCTTGATGGCGATCTTTTTAAACGGCAGGGAACTCTTTTGATATGTGTTTTTAACTTTTTCTTCTTTATTCTTCTTCCTTTTCATGGGGGAGGGGGAGGGGGGTTCGTGTTATAACTTCTTATTCCGTAGACAAACACATTTGCTTTGACAGACAATCTTTGATGGAGGAACGCCACTTGAAGCATTTTTCACAAAGTCTATCTTGAACTTCTTTAGTGAAAAAAATAACTTAACTAAAAGGAAACGAATGGCTATGTTATTCTTTTGTGGTTCTTTAACCAGATTAACCAGATTGGAGAAAACCTTGAAATGCCCTTCCATATCGTTCCAAATCAGGACGTCGTTACAAGCGTAAGTGTCTTTATGTTGTGTCTTTTGGTCGAGTCAAAATCTGAGAGCGCTAAAGACAAGAGCGTTCTAATGGTAAAAACATTTCGAAATCTAGAAACTACGAAACGCTATTTTCAGCCGTTTCTTCATGACGCATTTCTTGAATAACATCACAGATCTCATTTAAATGTAAAATGGCGCTTTAAAGACTGCTTACAAGGTTGTTCGTTCTACGCAGTTTGATACTGGTGTAAAAGACACGACGATGCTGTTTTTGCACAGGTACCCCAAGCTCACGAGTGAGACTCGTTGTTGCGTAACAGAAATATTATAAGGGTTTGTATGGAGATTTAAGCGATCGTTATTTAGGGGACAAACACAGAAGTAAAGATACATCAGAATTTCTTTCCTTGTGTCCTTGTCTAAATTTATGGTGTTTTCTTAGCATCTTTGGCCGTTCCAGCGAAGTTTTATTACGCAAGAACCAGTCTCACTAGTGAGCTTGGGGTACCTGTGGTTTTTCGTTGTCTCGTTATACACCACACATCTTCCACCCAGGGGGTGTGTTATTTCACCATTTATTATATTTTTTGCCAATATGCTTCGTTATAGTTGATCTATTCTCATGAAACGTAAGCTTTATAAGTTTTGCTTAGACGGCGAGCAGTCTCGCTTTTGCTCGAAACTCTGTAACGCTATGCTAGTGCAAGGGTGTGGGGCGTCATCGTCGTTAGTTTAGGTACTGATCGTTGTCGTTTTGATTATGGTTGTCCGTTCGTCGTAAGCATTTATTTTCTCTACCACAGATTTAATGATTCTTTATGGTAAAGGGTATTGAATGTCCAGTTACAGCTCAAAAAGAGAAAATTAAGACGGAAGACATTTAAGTGGGCCTCGTGCATGCTTGAAATACTTGAAGGCGGCAAAGGCTTTCTGATAAGTGACTTTCCCAACTTCAAACTCATAAACCATCATGCCTTAAGCTTGAGCACTCCACGCTCGCCTTCATCTCTCTCTTTCTTGATTGCAATATATTTAAGTGCTCGTTTGTCCTGGCATTACGTGAAAAAGACACAGTGGATGTTGGTGATGGTGATAATGCCTGATAATGGTGATGATTAGGCATAAATAGATTGTGCTCGGCAACTTTTGAGCAACTTTTAGCGTTTTGAGCAACTCTTGGTAGTACCAGCAACCTAGGGCAACTTTTGCCTTCCTTGGCAACTTTTGAGCAACAAATTGATATAAAACCGATCCAAACCATAAAAGGTCGTTTCATTTCGAAGGATTTTATTAAAACTGGTTTTATCAAANTTTCTTGATTGCAATATATTTAAGTGCTCGTTTGTCCTGGCATTACGTGAAAAAGACACAGTGGATGTTGGTGATGGTGATAATGCCTGATAATGGTGATGATTAGGCATAAATAGATTGTGCTCGGCAACTTTTGAGCAACTTTTAGCGTTTTGAGCAACTCTTGGTAGTACCAGCAACCTAGGGCAACTTTTGCCTTCCTTGGCAACTTTTGAGCAACAAATTGATATAAAACCGATCCAAACCATAAAAGGTCGTTTCATTTCGAAGGATTTTATTAAAACTGGTTTTATCAAAACTGATTTTATGTTTTTTTATGTTTTTATGTTTTTTTTTTTTAAACTGATTTTATTTCATAGTATTTATATTTGTCATATAACAATGGCTTTTGGCCTCTTTCAATGATTGTAAGAATATTTAATGAAAATGTTTAAATGGCAACAGACAAACAAACACGTTTTGAGTATTTATCTAAAACAAAACGACTCTAGAGAGCAAGCAACTTTTTGATATTTGAGCAACTTTAGAGCTACTTTTGGGTATATTGTGAAGCAACTTTTCCTGAATTTACTAGCACATTCTATTCATGCCTAGTGATGATGATATGTACATAAACTGTCGGTTGAAACAGAGGACGCAAAAAACCACTTACCTAGCCAACGTTTACCATATATGGTGAGTGCATATTGTAAGCAACTTTTATGCCTCTTTCAGCAGGAGGAACAAGAATGCAACGAGACTATGGATGTCATTCCCGAGAAAGAAAGCAACAAAAGGGTGGTAAGCGTATCCAAGAGAGAACAATGAAACAGAGAATGAAACGCCCAATCCAGCCCAAAGTAATTTTTTGGCCGATTACAGTCGGTTGTTTCTAAGCATAGACACGCGGCAAAAAATCATGTTCTATTAAGGTGCCAGACATGACGTGTTTTGCCACCAAACATTTGAGTTTGACAGCCGTTAAAGCAAACTGTCGCGCCAAAGGCTTAAGTTGTTTGTATGCTTTTGAACAGGGTGATCCGCTCATCTTTTATTTTTCTCAACTTTTAGGAATATTTCTCTCTCAGAAACAGCACACTTGCATCTAAGAATCACTCTTTGGTGTTTACAACTCCAGAAATTCTTCGCAATGTTTATAATACTTGCGATGAATATTTTCTTCAGTGAAATCAAATCAAGTCGACAAACAGCCGTCTACTTTGCACGTGAACATTCGTTTAAGGCCATCCCAAACTTCGAATGCCTGGCGGTAAATCATGTGATGTTTGCCCTCAATTAGAACATGTTTTTCGTCACGTGTACACGTTTAGATGCATCCGACGGTAAACGCTCGAAATTAATCTAACATTTGTTTCCGGCGAGGTCCGCATCGTTTATTTATTGCTGTCAGCAGCCTTCCTGGTCAGTTGTAAAGAGAGAATTCTACAGTCCCGAGAGAGAATTATTCTCTCTTGACAGTCGTCATTAAAATATTCTGCATTATTTGATTTGAGGCAGCCGCGCGTGAACATGATTTCGTTTCAAACAGTCGATTAAAATGTGCGGACGTCCTAGGAATTAGACTTCCGTTCAAATACGGCCTCTAAAAGAAGCTTAAGTGAAATTTCCATACCCCGGCCAACGACCTAAGACCCCCCAACCCCCCCCCCCCCCCACACCCCCCCCCTTATTTTTTCTCTTTTCTCTATCATTTCTTTAGACCTGAGCGGTGACTTGGGGTTGAGAATAGTGTTTATGTAGGTGGGATAAGACAATAAAAAAAAACAATGTGAACATTATTTCTTTTTAAAAACTGCATTAGAAGTGTGGGGAGTGCTCGGAAATAAACTCCACTTAAAAAACGGCCTCTAAAAGAAGCTTAAATGAAATTTCCCACCCCCCGCCAACGTCCCAAAGCCCCCCCCCCCCCCCACCCCCCACACAACTGTCCTATTATTCTCTCTTGATGTATCGCATTTCAAGAAATCAATAGAACGGCAAATCGAATAAGTGTCCTTTGAACAAACCACTAATGGCATACATAAAGGCGGAGGCTGTTTAATGACCAGTTGGAGCTACAACCAGTTGTGGAATTTATGCACTTTAGGCATCGCACTTATGGACAGTTACTGCATTAAGATATTTCATAGTTAATGGAGGTGACTGATTATGAAGCCCGGCAAACATCAAAGGAGCAAACAAAGATGCCAAGATTTATGTTGGAAGGTCCACGACCCTGCACAACCTTTTGTTTTGCGTTCATACGTTATGCATGAATTACGTAACCAGCACGTTTCTATTGGTTAGTTCCTCAGTACGGAGTAAACAACTATTGTGTTTTGTGCAGGGTCAAGGCCAAAAAAGAGAACAAAAATATACAACAAAGAACTTTGTCGGGTTTCATAACCATTCCCTCTATTAACTATGGATATTTGCAGGAGAAATTATTATTTATCCAGTCTGTCTGCTTTGACTTATTCCTTATTTGTCGATGGGGGCACACTGGCTACAGTCAACGCCGCTCAGAGCGGTACGCATGACGATCAAGATAAACTCTAATAAAATTTGTTTTATGGTCATTAAGTTTTTTCCCTATTTCACCCGACTTTCGCTACCAAGTATGAGATAGTCATTGAGGATATCAACAAAAGAAAGTAATCAGATTCACAACAACGTTTTTCAGGATCTCTCTTGTTCCCATCCTATGGGTGGAGAGGCCCTGAGAACGAGAAAGTCAGATTTAGAGAAGATTATTGTTCGAGAGCAGGATTTTTATGCGTATAGTTTGTGTCTACGCGCATAAAAATGCATTCGTGTTCTTTATAACTTAGAGAGAGTGCCTAAATTTTTACCTTTCTTGGGTTATTGCTGAGTTATGTTAATTTGCCGTTGATGAACTCTACATGGCGAGAAAAGTGCTGGTTTGGACCTATGACGTCATTGAATGGCCGACATCCTGACCACCATCTTCTCTTCACCAAAAATTCAGATTTTTGCAGATAGTAGAGAAACTAAGGATGTTGTAGTAGTAACATCATGACATTTATGGCAAACAGCAACTGAATGTCACCAACTTCGTTAAAATGTGTTAGGATAACAGGTTCTGCCTCAAATTTGTTTTAAACAAATAAGGCTTAAACCGTATGAAGTTGTCTCCCCCTCCCTGTACATCAGAGGCTAAAATGTTTTGCAAACTGAACCAGTCACGGTGAACTTTTGCATCGGTTCATACGTGCCTGGAAGCCAATTACGTTTCCTTGCATTTACAAGATTAGAAGAAATCGTGTGAACATAGCCTTTTAGTAACGAGTAAATAAGATGTCCACTCATTTTGTGTCTGTTTGCAAACTTAAGCGTCTTAAATGCCTCCGGACAAAGTCTTTGTTAATTTTTTCCCTTGCGATAGGAAAAAGTCTGGAAAGATACTAAAGACGGAAAGCGTTTCCTTCGAGCTAATATCGATGGTCTGGAGACGAGATTTAAGCTGACAGAAGAAGATTGGGAAGTAATGGAGATCACCCATTTCCCAGGTGGAGGTCGTTTGTTAGGTGGTGCCTGGACTACGATTTTTAAGCGTGGTTTACACGAAAGCAATCCCTGGTGCAACTTGCGCCTAAAGAATAATCACGTTCGAAAGGAAAACTCTCGAAAGATCATTTCAGCACCGTTCTTCAGAGGATCTGGAAACTGCAAGCGCCGTGAGTGCAACATGAAATTCAAAATGGTCATTGAAGAGGACAGGGGAAAATATGTCAAAGTGACGTACACGGGAAATGTCTGCCACAACCATGAATCATATCCAACGAAAAAGTGACTTCAAGAATGACTGCAAAAGACCTGACAACGGTCTCGGCATTAATATTTCCGGCGGTTAGTTGAACGCGCCCATGCAAGGATAGGTTAGCTTTGTGAGCTTTAATCGTAGTAAGAAGATGTTTGACTTTTTTAGTGTCTCGAAAATCAAAATACGAGCAGTTCAAGTTTTTAAAGGATGGGAGAGAAAGTAGAACTGTAAAAACGGAATGTACCCCTTTCTATATTCTTAAAGGTCAAAACCGTTACAAATGGACGTCATTTTTACAGTAGAAGAGACACAACAGACAAAGTAGGTGGAACGAACAGTTATATAAGGCCCCTGGAAAGGACGCGGAGGTTACCAAATCTCATTTTTCTATCCTATTTTTCCAATTCCTTTCTTCGATGTCTTCACATTACTATCTAGGAGCCTGCAACAGGCTAATCCAATGATAGCTAAGATTCCATTCCACTGGCAAAAGCGCGAGGACGAACCCAAAGTCAAAGTCACTTAGGGGATACTCAGATCTTAAAAATAGGCACATCACAGCTCTGTTTATAATTGATAAAAAAAAAGATCAATTAAAACTTTGATGTATCTTAGTGCTAAGGATTGTTTGTAGATTTTATCACATTTGTATAACCTTTATATTGTTTGCAGGTTGTTGATTTATTTAATAAACAGTTCCTCTTCTTTTCATCTTAACTGTCTTTTTTTTTCCTTCTGTGAATATTTGTTTTATTTCCTCTCTTTACATACAGTATGCAAACAGAGTTCGGGCCAGAACCAGAACTGGATAAATGACGTCACCCAACTTATCAAAAGACGCCCACACCAAGGGTAACAATACACGGTCATTTCTTAGCTCACTTGTGCGCTTTGAAATCAGGCTTTTTCCCACATTAGTTTGAGAACTTGCTTTTGAACAATAACGAAACGAGCAGAAGAGGGTTAAAAATTGCGATTTACACGTCGTGAAACGAATAAAGTTGGGACTTTTAGCCTGATCAGGCGCCAACCATCTGGAGAACGCAGGTAGGCAGCAGTTTTGCTCGTCGTTCGAAAATTGTTTTTTGCTATCTTAATTTAATTTGCTTGTACTTGGTGATATTCTCATTGTAGTGCAGGTCTCCTCCACTTAGTGCTACGTTTTTGAATAACCAAATGCTACGTTTTTGAAGAACCAACTCTGGCCCTGTTACGACAGCGACTATACCGTACATCACAGGCACCTCTGAAACTATTGCACGTATATTACAACCTTACAATATACGTGTTGCACACAAACCGATAACCACTTAACAGCGACTGCTTACTAATGGCAAGGACAAAGACAAACCGGAGGACAGACAGGGAGCAGTATACAACATCAAATGCTGCGACTGCCAGGCTTCTTACATTGGTGAAACCGGCAGAAACCTAAACACGCGACTGACCGAACACAAACGAGATACGAAGAATGGTGACGTCAACAATCACATTGCTGAGCAACATTTAAAGACGAAACATCAAATTGACTGGGACTCTGCGACATGTATAACGTATTCTACTGACTTCTATCAACGTCTTACTTTAGAAAGCCGGTTTACAAACTTAGAACAAACGCCACTGAATCGTAGCCAACAGTTACCAGCGCAGTACACACGACTTATTGACGAGATCAAGCAAAACTAACTACGAGAGAATGACAATTTGACTAACATTAGACGACTGTATAACTGTGACAATAGACGGATCGAAACGCACCAATTACTGATTACGAGTTTTCATAGCCAATAACATCACGGCTTAACTGACAGACGACCAATAACATCACGACGTAATTGACCAATCAAATCAATAACCAGAGTATAATACCATCAACTGACGTGATACAACTCACTTTAACTCCGAAGATGACTGCCGCACAGGTTGTCGAAACGTCAGTCACTGTCAACAACAACAGTCCTATTCAGGACTACGTTCACCCGGACGATCAAACTCAACCTACTTTTGAAATGACTCCTGGGTTCAAACCTTTCACAGGCAACAATGAGTCGCGCAATGAGCGTTGGCTGTGAAGAGACAAATCCATTGCACAGCTCAGGCCATGTTCCTTTTCTTGCAGTCTGGTAGAAATCCACATGATTGCTTTCTTGGATGGCAATATTATACAGAAATCCGGGACTGTTCAGAAGTGTAAAAACAGCCTCTAAAAATGAACTTTCGAAGCTTCAAGATATTGAGCTTCCTAGACACAGCCTATAGACACCCGTGAAGTGCGAAATTGCGAAACGTTAACTCAGAGCTTCAAACAAAGAGGCAGTCAACAAATGTGCTGTTTTCATCTTTTGGTGTTTAACTCTTTAACCAAGTAATGGCGAGATTATTTGTCACTCTACTGTTTAATATGCAAACTGAATCATATGGTGTTACCATTCAAACGGTACGACTTTGGCAGAACTTTTGGTACGATTTCGGTATCACCCGTGTACATTTTGTGACTTAAACTCTATCCATGCTCTCCTCTTTTAGGGTTAGTGGAACATATACATGGGTCTATTTATTTCTTGGCATTTTAAGAAAGGGAAATCGGAATTGTTCACTTTGGTCGTAATGGGGAGTAAAAGGAATAATAAGATGCAAAAAGATATAAGGCGTATTTCTACAAATTCCCGCGACACCAAGGATTTCCATCCATAAAGGGTGTTTTCAGTTTGTAGAGGAACTGTGTACCATTTGAGCTTGGCTAGCTTGGACCAAGAAAAAGCAGAATTTAAGGAACAATGAAATTTTTTTAGTACGAAGAAACAGTCACCCAGCAAAGACACGCCTTCACACAATACCAATGCATTAGACAAGCGGAAACTGTCGAACGCGCCACCGAACGACGTAATGAAGGTCAAAAACAAAAGCACTGCCTTCCTGAGCTTAAGTAAGAACTATTCAAGTATTGCAAACACTAAAGAAGAAGTTAAGTTAGGCAATGTACCGAATGCCCCGCGCTCAGAAAGCTGTGCGGTGCTTGCTAAAAGTTAAACGGCACTACGTAGGAATATGCAACTGGTAGTGTGGCGCTGTTAACGGTAGCCGACCTTGGAGCGATGTTAACATGGTCGAGTCAGAAGGTTCCCTCAAAGAAGAGAGGACGAATTACAAAAGGCAAAAGCAATTACACGCTGCTGATTGGATTTCTCGCTTCTCAGCAAATCAATTCAGTAACAGTGCACCGAGAAATGATTCAGCAATACCTCACCACTAACACTCAAAGTCTTACTCTGGATCAAGTGATAGAATAGTTTGGAGATGTGTTCATAGGGACAAAGCTTCATGGAAGGAACCTTTACCTTACGATTGACAGTCACAATGGTAAAAAAAGTCCCGACCAGCCTAGTAGAGTCCTGTTTGCACTTAAAGATAAAGATGAAGTCCGAACTAGAACGGCTAGAACGACTTCAAATGCTTCGCAAGGTAAAACGAGCCTACATTCTGGGTGTCAATTGTTGTAGTTGTTGAAAAGCTCAACGGAAAATTGAGGATCTGCATCGATTCTGCCCACCTGAATCAGGCACTGAATCGCTCACACTGCCCATTACCTGTGACAGAGGATGTTCTACTTTAGTTAGCCGATGTTAAGTTTTAACAAAGATGGTTCCTTACACATCTAGCTCGACGACGAGTCATCCAGAGTCCCTGGAGGCGCTCCTGTTGAAAACGAACGCTATTTGGAGTGTCAACTGGCCCGGAGCTATCTCCACAGGAAAAGCTCGATCGGATTCTAGAGGGCATAACTGATGTACACCGAAACTTTGAAGACCTGTTGATTACCCTTTCAGCCTCAATGCAGGAGCATGGTGGGAATAAGCGCTTTAGGAAGGTTCCTGTACAGGAACATTAAACTCAGTAGACAGAAGTTCCTGTTCAAGTGCTTCCACGTTTCACTTGTCGGTCACTTGTTTACCAGTGAAAGGTTGAAGCCTCATCCGGAATAGGTAGAAGCTCTCTTCAGCTTGCCTAGACCCAAATATATTCAAGCCGAGTAGCGCTCCGTTAATACAAACTAGATGTTCCATATTGGAAGTAAAGTGCGGCCTCATGTAGAAAGATCAAGGGGCTGGAACGGTAGTAAATAATCTATTGTATCTAAGTTTAGGATATAAAATGGTCTTCAAGGTTGTAAGATTAAAAAAAGGAGAGAGTAAATTGTTGTCTCCCTCTCAACCGTTTTTGTCTCGTCACGTAAAGCTAGGAGCGCTGCGTGACGAGACAAAAGGGAGACTGATGTTCAAAACATATAGTTGAGTTATGTTGAATTTTTTAAGCTTGATCTTCAGCTTTGTCCGTATGTGACTATAATTCGGAACCTGCTTACTCTTAGAATTAGCTTCAAATAAAAACAAACACAGAGCATAATGCAAGCAATGAATTCCCAACGATTTTAATCAATAACTACAAGCATTAATATATCTCACTAATATATTGTCCGTATGTTTTTAAAATAAACGCTGCATAATGAAAGGTTGTATATAAAATAAATACTCCAAAATCAGTTCAGATTGTTCCTGACAAGAACCCAATAAAGACATATTCCATTCGATTCAGTAAATCGTCACTGAACTGTACATATTCGTTTCTGTTGCATTCATTTGTTTACTTCATGAGATCAATACAAATAAGTAATAAGTATTTTAAATGAAAAGGAAAACTGGAATTCAGTTTGCAGAGTTTGCCCACCTCGGTAAGCAAATCGCTTGTTTTATTCGCCTCTTTGCCGGAGCAACTTATGACCTCAATTGTAATTCTGTTTGTTCGCCCCGTTGCACCATTCACCTACTTAGAAAAAGTAGTGAACTACAACAGGAAGGTTATCTGCCAAAAACGATTCTGCTGATGTGATTGTTTAGGGCGCTGTGAAACTGATTGTCTCCTCGTGACAAGATTTCATCAATTGTGTTCGTGATCCACAATGATCCAACAGCTAATAACTGGTTGGGCTCATGGAAGGAAAAGTGATGCCAAAATGAAAGAACGTTGTCCCCCCCTCGAATCCTCACTTAAACGATCGCTACCTTCCCAAAATACTTAACTTTACAACTGACATGACAAGCAAATGAGTAACATACCGGCTGCGTTA